CCTGCCTCTCCTTAGACCCCTCCACCTTCCACAAAATCTTCACCTCCTTCCCGGTAGACTGCGGACTCTCTTTGATGAGCGAGTCGGCTTTGCGAATCGCCCAGTTCCGCTGCTTCTGCATTTTCGTGCGGGCCATCTTGACTACGATGTGCTTGCCGCTATGCTCACACCTGATGCCGGGGGACCCCAAGACACCAAGACAGGATTTCGCGACGTCATTGCTGCAGAACTCAACCCACGAAACTTTAGATAACTTCCTGTTGGAATATGGGCCGGAATATTCATGTCCAAACCCAGTGGGACGGAAGTGTGGAACATGAGAGCGGCAGAACTGCTCCATCACTTGGGCCCTGGTGTCCTCGGTAGCGTCATCTTGCCAACCGACAAACGCGATACGACGAAGAGCAGGATCGAGACGATTGACGGCACTTTGAAGATCGGCGATGACCTTGCTAGACGCTGCTGCTGCTGTAGGTGCCTGCTCTAGTTTGGAAGTGCGCTGCTTTAAATCATACATATCCGACTTCAGGGGGTCAACCGCCTCAGACACGGAGAGTTTAATCTGAGCCTGCAGGTCTTTCTTCATGTCCTCAACGTCTGACTTTAAGGCCATCTTGTCCATTTTCTCCGAAAGTGCGTGAATAGCCTCAAGAACCTCCAAGTTCGGGGACTGCGTGGGGCCACCCTGCGAGGAAGCACCTGGTGTCGGAGACGTCAAGGACTCTTTCAAGCGCTGGACCTTCTCAAGCTTCTCCTTCACCGGAGACGCTGACGGGCCTCGTTTGGCGGTCGACGCAAAGGCTTCTGAGAGATTTGCCTGGACTTTCTGAGAAGCCATGCTGAAAGTATGAAGGTATGGGTGTGGGACAGGTGGGAATGGTAGGGAGGGTAAGGGTAACCTTGGATACCTGATGCCGCAGCTTGAACCTTGAGCCAAAATGGCTTGAGCCAAAATGGCCCCCAACATCGCCCCGAGACAGCCCAACAATCCGCTAAAATCGGCCCAAGACGGCCCAAGATAACCCCAAGACGGCACAAGAGAGCACCAAGACCGCCCAAGAGGCGCCCAAAGGGGGATTCTGCCCCTAGGAGCACCTCAGAAGCCACCAACATCCCGCCAATAAGTCCCCCAAGACGCCCCAAGAACCACACAAGAAGCCCAACAAGAAGCCCCAACGACCCCCAAACGGCCCTTACGGGGCCTCAAGAGGCTTCAACACTGCCTCCAAGAGGTTCCCGAGACGCCTGGCAAAAGAACCCCCAAAGCGCCGCATTGACACCAGGCCCTCGGGCAAACGGCAGACATGAGACTGTATGGGCCGGCGGAATGAGCGAAGCGATTAAATACATACACACAAATAGCAGGATTTCCCATATTTTCCAATGTTTTCTGGGTTTCTGTCTTCCCCACCCCCCACTTCCCATATTTTCCCGTATTTTTTGGGGGAAACCGACGATTCATTGTGTCTGTGTGTTTTTTCCCCTCCTGAGTTAGGCCCTGCAAACGGATAGGGTGTCGCTCCGCTCCGCGGGGCGGGAGGCCAGGAAAGGCTCGGGACGTTGACGCCGCGGGGCCTGGGATGAGGACAGCGTGTCGCGCCGAAGCGTGGTGAGCTGGAACCGGCAGCGCGACACGCTGAGCCAACGTGTCTGACCGTACGGTGAGGGCATTTTCTCTCTTCGCGGCCGAGGCGTTGTCAATTCGCATGCACGCGAAGCCCGCGCACGGGCCAAAGCCGACAGTGAGGGCATTGGATAGGGAACCATTGCATAAGGAATCCAGGGCCTGGGAGCCAGTAAAACTTCAGCCGTGGATCGGCCATGGACATCCCCGCCGCCCTCGTCAGAAAAGGGACCCCCCCAGGACCTGAGTCATCCCTGGCACATCCCCTCACCGACCCCTCCGGCGTAAGCTCGGATGAAGACAGGTCGGGGACACCTCCTCCTCCTCCTCCTCCTTCTCCTTCTCCTCCTCGTCCTCGACTTCCTCCTTCTTCTCCTCCTCCTCCTCTTCGACTCAACCCGAACGCGAACGAATCCGTCCGTGCCACATGCCACTTCCGCGGTCGCCCAAATCCATGGATCGGGGGAGGTGCCCTCCCCCAAAATGCGGCCAGTGCCGCCACGCTCGGCGGCGGAAGTCCTCGGTTTCCCATGAAAGCGGGGCCCGCCGCCAATCCGCGCCCCCTTGAGATCCATGTTTGCGATCGCCTGAGACGAGCGGGGGGGGGAGACGGCGGGCGGCGAGAGCGAGAAGCGAGAAGAGGAAGGGAGAAAACGAGAACAAGGGAAGTGACAGCTTCCGCGGCCATCCTCCGCCCGCCTCCTCCTCCTTTCGCTTCCTCCACAGCTCTCCCCCCCTCCCTCCCTCGCCTCCCCGCGGGGGGGGGAGACGAGGAGGATAGGGGGACAGAACGCCCCCCCTCCTCCTCCTTTCCGTGCAGTTGTTTTTCAACTTGGCCAGGTGCCCGTCGGGGACGGGGTTCAGACACTGTGAGAGGCTGGCCAGGAAACAGCAGCATAACAC